CCAATGCAGATATTGATCAAAATCGAAATTTTAATAATCAATTGCCTATAAAAAATAAAATACATTCAAAATATTTTGCTGCAGTGAGTATCTATATAATATTGTAGGTAAATAGATCTTCATTTTCGTTTTTCTGCTTGTTTTAATTTTAGACTTGGATATGGTTTGAAATATGCCGATATCTTTTTTTTATGACAAATTTACATACAATTCAAATTCCAGACATTATTCAACGATTGTCTCATAATATGTATTTTGAGGCTAATGCTAGTTTTTTTTATGAGACATTCATAAAATTTTGGTCACGTCATGGACAAGTCGAAGGTTGTCAGTGTCAAGCTAAAGATACTTGTATGCTTAACTTTGTGTTTGATACACACATGAAAGCACATCGTTTAGTCTGTGCATATACGTCATCTTGTGATGAATCTGTACTAGAAATGGGCCCTGTGGCTGTCGGCTGCCCTCGTCCTCCACTTCGTTCTACATCAAGTCTTTTGAAAAATATATCGAGTACGTGTATTCGTTTCTTTTGCGTACTTTCTCAGCATGTATTCTTCTAATTAAAGCTATTAATAAAAATAAATGCAAGCACTATTGTGCAGATCATTATAAGTATGGTTTAGAACCAAATATTATAGAAAACTCAACAACTACTAAAGCCAATGAACTCGAACGCAACTCTGATGAGTTCGAAGACACTGATCAATGTACCGTTCATCGCGATGAAGATGATACACAACACAAACGTCGCACTGCAGGATTTATGGCTATTGTATCTAATTGTGATGTCATTATTGGATGGAATGAAAGTGTTCATTCTGAAGGTATGCGCCGTAATACTTATCAACTATTAAGATTTCTTCATCTCGGTGGAATATTACCACAAGCAGCTGCTTATGATTCAGCATGTACTTTCTTTGCATATTTAAAAAACCAATATTGTGTATCTATCATGCCATCACCTTATGTTGATGAATTGTTACAAAAAAAATATTGTATAGATCGGTTTCATCGCAGAAACCACACCCGACCTGAATGTAAAACAGTTTTGTCATGTTCTCATCCAGATAATCGACCATTTTTCGATGGTCAGAACACTCAAGTCTGTGAGCAATTGTTTGCACATTTTACAAAACTTAAAGCTGCACTTCGATCTATCACATGGCCTTATTCCAATATTTTGTATTGTCTTATATTTCATCTACGAAATTGTTCTGAAACACAAATCTTTCCAGATAATCCTTATCTAGCTGTTAAATCGAATATTCCACCGCCAACTAGTAGCCTATTTGAATGGACTCATATAATGGTAAGATGAATATTTCATCTCTCTGAATTTTATATGCTATCTTTATGATTTTTTATAGGCCTCACATAATTATCAACTGCAGCATCAGAATCAGGGCGATTGTCGAAGAGAAGATGATGATATTGAAGAGACATACAATGAATATGAATAGACACTTGCAATTCACTATGTTTTTTTTCTTATAAAATTATCTCTTTATTTAAATTCATTATATATATATATATCACTTATGTTGATAATTTATTGATCATATTTATTCTATCATTTATTGTGTATATTTGTCTAAATCCCCTAAAATTAGATGAATATATAATATTCTCTTTAATTAAAAAAATATTCTATGACTTTGTTAATTATATTCATTTTACTGTTAAAATTTATTTCATATATTTTGATGCGAAACTTATATAATGAGAAATCCATTATCTTCTTACTCCAATGTTTTTTACAACTAATTATAGCTTTACACTTGTATACAATAGAAAATTTGAACTGATTCAACTTGTTATTTCTAAAAATAGTAGAGAATAAAATGTCCTCTCTGTAATTTGCATCATCAGCTGTCATTTAAGATTTATATTTGTATTCTATCTCCGCTCAATATATTATCCGTCAATGATATTGATAGTTATTTAAAAATGTCTAACAACATCAATGTAACACTAAAGTTTTCCTTGCTAATGTTCTGCCTGACAAGAGAAACGTGAAAAACAAATTTATAGACAAGTTTGATACATTTTGTTCAATAGAGATTAGCAGTTTCA